GTAGCCCAGACTAGCCTCAAGGGTATCCAAGGATAACCTTAGATTCTTGATTATCCTGCCTCTGCCTTCCACATTGCGAGATTACAGCTGTTCATTACCATACCAGAAGCAGATTTTAGGCATCATAACCTGACCTTTAAAGATCAAAGACAACTTTCCCATAGAAGCCATATGAAGTGGGGAAGAACTTAGGACTCTGAGTCACCATTTCAGTGCACACCCTGCCCCATTCAGTCACCCATGTGGCCTCAGTTCTTACCCTCTTTCATCTGCTTCCCCACGGGTGAAATGGGTCCTAGGAACTGTGAAGAATAAGTGAGAAAGACACATGAAGCAAGGTCCTGTGTGTCATGTGGCAGCTCAGGAAGCCCATTCCATCTCTTGTCTGCCACCCCTGCCATGGCACCTTCCTCGGGGCAAGTGTTGACAGTCTGTAGTGTTATCACATTCATGGGGGCACCATGTTTCTGGTCTCCAAGTTCCTCCCTTCTCAATTCTTAACCTGTCACAACTCTAACCAGGGGAACAAAGGCTCAGGAAACCATGAAGCCACCTGCCCCCTTCCTTAAAGAGGTTTCTATTTCTCATGTGCATCTGTATTTGTGGCATCTACATATGAGGGTTACACATATGGACCGGGCTTGTGGAGCTTGGACTTCAAGGCAGAGAGTTATACAGTAGTTAAATACCATGTGTATAAGACCACATTTTAAGAAACCGGAAGTGAGAAGGCCAGATAATGAAATGAAGAATGACAGAGTGATGGGAAGGGTGAGGATGTGCATCCCAACTGAGCTCACCGGGAAGCTCCTGTGTAACCTAACTCAGCTCGTCCAGGAGCTCCTGTTGAGCAGATGGAGGTCATAGGAAGTTACCTTAGTCAGGGTTCTTTTGCTGTGAAGAGACACCATGACCACCACAACTCTCATAAAGGAAAACATTTAATCAGGGCTTGCTTAAAGTTCAGAGTTTTAGTCCATTGTCATTGTGATGGGAAGCATGGTGAGTACAGACATGGTACTGGAGAGGTGTTGAGAGAGTTCTTCAGGCAGCAGGAAGAAAGAGTGAGACACTGAGCCTGTCTTGAGCACCTAAAACCTCCAAGCCCACCCCCAGTTCTACACTTCCTCCAACAAGACCACACCTGCTCCAAAAGGCCACACCCCCTAATAGTTTCATTCAAATCACTACAGAAGGTCTGCAGACAGCCTAGAATTGAGTCTTATAGACAAATAAATGGCAAGCTCCCAGACAGAATGTCTCCCCAACTGCTAGATGAGTGGAGCCAGAGAGTGAACATGGCACTGTGGGTGCACAGAAGGAAGTGTCCCTCGCCCCAGAGGCAGGAAGAAGTAATGGACAAAGAAGTTAGGGTGGGGGCTGGTTTTCAGGCTGCTGGGCTGGGAGAAGGAAAATAAGGAAGAGGATTCCTGAGAAGAGAGCTAGAGGTTGAAGGAGCAGGTGCCATAGGAGGGACCTTGCCTTAGGATCCTAGCACCACCTTTTAAGAGCCAGGAAGAGGGCTGTGGGTCTCTCAGAGGTCAAGTGCTTGCCTAGCATGCACAAGTCCCTGGGTACTATCCCCAGCACTGCAAAAAACAAACAGGCAGAAAAAATATCTTCCTAAGACTGGCCTGGAACAGGTCCAGCCCTGCAGCTGCCAGCTTGGAGCTCAGGGGGAGCTTTCAGCTTCCCACCCACAGGGCTCAGCTTCCAGATCTGGAAAGGTGACCATGTAAAGGGCAGATGCTTGCCACAGCTAACCCAGGATGTCAGTGTGGCCCAGCTGCAGAGCAGTCTCTTGACATCTCTAATGCTAGCCCAGCCTGACACCTACTGCAAATGCTTGTAAAGGGAAAACAAGCTGCCTCGCCTTTACAAGAAGCTACAGGAGAGCAGAGAAGTTCAGAGCCTGCTGCTGTCTTTTCCATACCTTTTCCTCCATCTGCCCTGCATCCCGCCCCACTGCCCAGCACTGGGTTTCCTTCTGAGCATCCTCACTCAGCCTCAGGCTAGCATTGAGAAAGAGTGTGTTCCCAATGCTAGCTCTGCCACAGATGCCTAGAACCACCTTTGGAGGCCCACTCTTCTGTGCCTCAGTGTCCTCTCTTGTGAACTGAGCTAATACTGCCTACCTAGAAAGAGCCTTAGGGACCGGGAAATGAATCACTGTAGCTGCACAGGCAGCTTGCTGCAGCCATCGGTACATTGTAGATATCATTTCACATAAGACATTCACATTGACTGAGAAGAGTGCAAGGAAAGTCCAGTGCACTTGGGTCCAAGCCCCCTCTCTGCCCTGCCTTGGCACTTATGGAACCCAGGATGATGTCTCTTTCCCCTCATCAGTGGCTTGTCTGGGACATATACCCACCACAACTGCCTCTGAGCATGGCTGTACAATACCCACTCCACTTACACTCTCAAAATGTCTGAATGGAAGACAGATCACTTGGTATCTCTGTCATCAGATGAGCACGACAGTGCCACCCTCAAGGGCTTGCATGAGAAAAATCATAGAGGTGTGCCTCCTTACCATCAGGCAGCCTCTGGGATCTTCACACACCTCCTGCCTTTAGCAAAGATGGGCAGAGATTTGACTTGTAGGTCAGGCCAGTCATGCAGACAATAGAGCCATCGAGCAACAACAGTATGCTATAGAATCTGAGGAAAGTCCATTCTCCAGCCAGCTGGTCTTCTGCCAGTTAGTGTCAGCTCCACAACTAACCTGTTGAGTCTCTGCCCCACCCAGGTCCTAGACATGCTCCTCACCACATGAACTGCCTGCCCACCTAGTTATCTTGACTGCTCTGGTTTTCATGGTGTAGACTAATTTAGCATTTTGGAATTAGTCACAGCTGGATAGCTCTCCTCTCTAAGCATTTAGGAATTGATTAAGATCCCCCTGGGATGATGGGGCCTGCTTGGCTGACCCTGAGAAGGTCCCTGATACTCTGCTGTAGGTCACGCTGGGTGTCACAGCTTGTAAACCTTTGTCCCGTGTTAACTGGAAGATGAACCCCACCCCAGCCATGATGGGAGCTTTTTCTGATAGACTTTGTTTCTTACCTGACTGTTCACCATTATAAAATAGTGGACCCATCTTTAATTAGAATGAGTAGGGCCAGTTTGAACTCCCATGGCCCATTTCTCTGAAGATTATGAAGGGCATTGTCCCAGCCTGAGCATCACTTTGGAGTGATGAACAGAGAACTCTGTGAGAATGAAAACATGTTAATTGGCAGTAGGGAGGGGAATACTGTTTCTCTGCATGATTGATCTTTGCAAATCCAAGTTAGTATTACTCTACCTCAGTGATGAAAGAGGGAGCCATAAAGCACTTGCCAATATTTTCCACCCCTGTAGCAGACTTTCTTTTGTGCCACCAACCAGCTCTCAAATCATGGCATGGAGACATTATTTATTATGAATGCTCAGCCTCAGCTTATGCTTGTCCCACTAGCTCTTATAACTTATTTTAACCTGTTTCTTTTCATCTACATTTTGTACTGGGGATTTTTTACCTTTCTTTCATTTTGTATATTCTACTCCATGTTTGGCTGGCTGGCAGCTGCCTCGTTAGCTGGCCCTGGGTGTCTCCCTCTCTTTCTCCCTTATTCTCATCTCTCTTCCATACCCCGCCCCTTCACACACACACCTAGATTTCTCCTACTACTACTTATTCTATCTGCCCACCAGCCCACCTAACTTTCTACTGCCTTACTGTTGGTCATTCAGCTTTTTATTAGACCAATCAGGTGCCATAGGCTGGCAAGGTAAAGCAGCAACACATCTTTACATAATTAAACAAATGCAGCACAAGCAAATGTAACACACCTTTACTTAGTTAAAGTAATAGTCCACAACACATTCCCACCCCACATACACGTCAGAGTTCTCAACTGCTTGCTTCCTGCTGATACCCCTGCCTGACTCCCTACTCTCCCTCCAACTGACCCTGCATTACAACAGCCACCTGCCTGGCTGCACTGGCCTGTATTGTGCCCATGTGGCAACCTGCCCAAAGGATCATGGGCTATTTTTAGTATTTTTCATCCTTCTGATGACTTACTGGAGGAAACTATTTTAAAGATCATTTTGGCTCCCAGAGGTTTCAGAGGTTTGGGTCTACAGGTCACAGCAGATTTTTTTGACCTGATATAGGGTATAGTACCATGAAGGATTGATGGCCAGAGCTGCTCATTCTGTGACAGACAGGAAGCAAAGAGAGCAGAAGTGGCTTGCAGTGATGCCTGTCTTTCTAGGACATGCCTCTGATGAAGGCAGAACACCATGGTGAGAGGATTGATAGAGCAGAGAAGCTCTCTTCATAACAGACAAAAAGGAGAGAGAGAAATGTGCCAGCAATGCCATGTATCTTTTCAGGGCATGCCCCCTTCCTCTAACAGCACCAAGGGATTAATCTATTGATTAAGTTGGAGTCCTCTAGGACCAGTCATATCTCACAATTACACCCACCAGTTAGGGGCCAAACCTTCAACTGTGAGCCTTTTGGGTGACACTTCATATCCAAACCATGTGTTCTAGTTTAAAGACCAAGTCTAAAGTCAGGCTAATGCAAATGCTGTAAGCACTTGTAAGGTGGTGAGGCTGAGCAATGAGCAGATAACTGGTATGCAATAAATGCATTTTAGCCCTAGATAAGTTTATAGAAACATAACCCCACTGTGAATGGAGCTGCATCTGTATCTCATCAATGTCTGTTGCCTTACATGTCACTCGTGCCCATGCAGTTCAAGGTTTGTGTTGGATCTCTGCTGGGGTCCCAGTGCTCCTTCAACTAAGTCAGAGAAATGTTTGTGTCTCTGGAGCCCAGGGCTGAGGGCTGCTAAGGGCACCAACCCTCAATCATACAGGTACAGCTATTCCTGCCAAGATAGCATCCTCACTTCATGGTGGTCCAGCACCTGGCTATGGAGGTAGTGTGGTGGGTGAGGTCTACTTAGGGGTTCATTCCTGTCCTGATTCTCCCCTCACAGGTGGGATCCCATTCATCCTGACCGGAGAGTTCTTCCAGCAGTCAGAGAGGCCGGCAGCCTTCATTGTCGCAGGCACAGTCAACTGGCTCTCCAACTTCGCTGTGGGGCTCCTTTTCCCCTTCATCCAGGTATGCCTGACAAGGAGGCTTTCTGCCATCACATTGCCTTGGGACTCTGAGACGTGGTGAAATCTGTCTGGTTGCAATGGGATGGGTGTATGTCTTTCCCTCTCTCTCTGCCTCCCCACCCCTCTCTCTCCTGCCTCTCTCTTGGTCTCAACTCATACTATTGTCCCAAGGAAGGAAGATTATACACTTTGACTAAGGTCATCTTCTCTCCCTCTTGTCCCTCCCTCCCTGTCCTTCTTCCCTCTTGTCCCTTTCTTCATTCTGTATCTCTTCCCTCCCTATTCTGCCTTCCTCCTCTGCCTCCCCCTCCTTCCTGTCCCTCCCTCCCATCCCTTCTCCCTTCTGTCCCTTTTTCCTCTGTGTCCCTCCTCCTTCCTGTCCCTTCTAGGAGCTGGCCCCAGATGCTATGGGCTGCCTCCTGTCACTTATTGCTGCGTGTGTGCAGAACCCTATATTGTGTTTTGAACTTATGACCACTCTTGGAATGTGCTAACTACTATGTCAGACAAACCTCATAGAAATGTTGCAGTCCAACATACACTCCAAGCCTCCCAAGGAAGACAGTGACTAGTAGGGAAATGCCAACATGTTCTAGAACCAGATGCAAATTCATTGGGGTTTGTAGTGTTTGGGGCAACAAAAATGAGTGGGCCCCAGCCTGCGGTTCTGGGGCACATGAACCATTAGAGGTGGAGTTCTCAAGCAAATGGGCTGCTGGAGAAGTGTTTCTGCTGTATGTGGACTGTTGACGTGTGGTGGTCCTCCAAGACTTCTCAAAGGAAGTGGCATTGGAGTAAAGACATGAGAAAAGTAAGGAGCAGGGGAGTCTTGGAAGTTCAAAGTCCAGGCTAGCATAACAGCAGTGTAAAGCCCTGAGGCTGGCTGGTGCTTGGCTGGGGTGGGAAACAGTATACAGCTGCAGCAGTGTGAGGCAGGGGTTTGCTAAATAGAAAGTGAGCTCATGAAGTTATCCACAGGTCAGAACATGAAAGACAAGGACTGTGCAAGGATTCTCCACACAGAGAGGGCCCAAAGCAGTCAGTCAGAAGGTGAAACTTCCCTACTCCAACACTCTCCAGGGCTCCCCGATGCCTATGACACAAGTACATCCACCTAGAGAAGGCAAGACTATATTTCAAACCTCCAAAAAAGGCCTATCATCTTAAAGGTCATTTCAATCCCATGCCTATCATCTTAAAGGTCATTTCAATCCCATCATCCTCCAAGACCCACTATTCAAAACACTGCTTAGTGCCAGTGCAGCATGTCCCAGCAACCCTACTACTAGCCAGGTGAACAAAATGGCTCTGTCCTCAGCTCACCATGCTCAGACTCAGCACAGCTGCAGACCAGTGGGACAGTCACTTCTCTCAGCTGCAAACCAGTTCCTCTGTGCCACAGGCCCCAGGTCTGGCTTTTGTGTCCATATAATCTCCCATGGCCCTCAGTTGGACTTACTCCTGACCTTCTTACAGACAAGCCCACTGAGGCCAGGCAACATCCCAGACTCCACAGGGCCCACCAAGCCCAGATCTCCTGACTGCTTCTCTCTGTGGTGACCTGCCATGCACTGCAGACTCCTGAACTCAACAGCTGGAAGGCAGGTACACCATCCAGCCTCCATGGAAGCAATGGCTTCCCATCTCACAATGCTACAAGCACCCCAAGGGCCATAGAGTACAGAGGGACTCATGCTTCGCATTCTCTTCCTTGGGGTCTCTTGCCAGCTGCAGCCAGGACACAACAAGCTGCTTTTTCATTTGGACTTTTCCTGTTTGGTTAAAAGCTAGCAGTCAAAGCCTGGGGTCAGTAAAGTATCCACTACATGGACAAAATTAACTTTAAATTACCTGCTGATTCTCTTTCCTTCACAGCTGAGTCTTCCTGGGCTCAGGGTATACTTGCTGGGTCTGTGAAGCAGACCTGTCTTCTACACACCTAGGGGTGAGACGAGTACATCTTATAGACACTGAAGACCTAATACCATCCTGCCAGGCAGGGAGTGAGAAGCGTCCACTGGCACGTTCACACAAACATCTATTGAGCACTTGCCATGTGCCAGCAAATGCTCAACCCTGCCAGGGCCAGGAAGTACAGCCTCCAGCAGCTCTTCTGAGAGACTCCCAAGGTCACTCACACTAGGCATATCAGAGCCAGACTCTGAGCCCAAGTTCTTTACCCTCACCTGTACGACAAGGAGAGAAAGGAGGCTGTTATCTGGCAGATGACTCATCTAAAACTACTCTTCCACCTGAATAGAAAATTTATCCAAAAAACTACACATGGATACAGATAAAGATTTACACAGAGGGAGTCATTCCTCAGTGTCTTCTCAGGGCTCTGGGTTGAGAGAGAGAGAGAGAGAGAGAGAGAGCCTGTGCATGGGTTGCAGAGGTCTCCAGCTGTATCTGGTTCCACTTGACCTTGATTTCACATCACTCAGATTTGCAAATCGCTTCCCATCTGCACATCCCTCCAGTGGCATCATAGTGCTGTGTCTCGTTTGACAGTGCCACATGTGTCTGGGGCCCAAATTTCGTATTCATTTTCATTTGATGTAATTATCCCTGCCCGCTCCGTTGGATTACTTGTCAAAGAAGAGGTTATGGAGGAAACAGTGACCACACATGAGGCTTCATACCAAGTCACTAGGCAGCCAGACTGTGGAGTGGGTCAGTCAGGATGGACTATGTTTTCTGCAAGAACTAGTAGCCCCAAACTGAGGCCTGTGAACAGAAGAGAGGTTCCTGGTTCCAGTCATCCAGTTCATGGTTACTTGTTACAGCAGCCATTGAAATAAATCAAACAAGCTAAGCTATTGAGTGACTGGATGAGCCATTGCTATGCAGATGGCTCTCCCTAGGCATGGCACATAGGGTGACTTGTGTAATCCCATAACAGGTCCATGAGTCCCATGTCCCCACTAGTCCCCTTTTACAGATAACTGTCGATGCACAGAAATGTCAAGTCACTTCCCTGGGGTTGCCCAGCTAACAAGTGCTAGAAATGAGACCAAGCTTACATGCTCCAGAATGTTCATTCTCAACCGCTATAGCACACAGCCTTAAATCTCAGGCAGTGACACCCATACAGAGGGTGAGAATGATATTGGGGGCTCTAAATGATTTTTAGATCGATTCTTATAAAATCCTTGGAGCTCATTGTTGTGGCTAAGATAGCGGGTGGCAGCCATCCCTGACATTTGAATATGCTCTGTGGCTACAGGACAGGCCTACATCAGTCCTGCATGACCTGAGCTCCTACCAGGGACACATATCAGATAGCTGTTGGTTCCTATGGTGCTTATTTAGAAGACCAAGCAATCATCATGTTTTTATTTAGTAGTGTGTGTGTATACACATGTACCTCAAACATGTGCATAGGTCAGGGAACAATTTTCAAGAATCTGTCCCAAGTTAGATCTGGTATCTTCTGCATGTTTCAGGGCAGTTTGGTGCCAGTCTATGTGGGGTATTTAATGAGCAGGGAAACTGAAGATGTGTGCTCAGAACTTACAGGCAGACAGCCTGGACTTGCATGTTAGCTCTGCTGCTCTCGGGCAATGTGCCCCTGGTTTCTTCAGACCTCATTGTGTGTCAAGAACAATAGCAGAATCTACTCACTGGGCTCTTATGAGGATCCGAGGTGCAGTTCGGGGCAAGGGATAAGGCTCAGTGGATAAACTGCTTGCTGCACAAGAAAGAGGTCCTGAGTTTAAATCCCCAGCACTCATGCAAAAAATTTGGGTGCAGAGGCATATGCCCATAGTCCTAGTGCTGGGGAGGTGGAAATGGAAAGATCCTTGAGGCTTGCTGGCCAATCAATCTAGCCAAATCAGTAAATTCTAGGTTGAGTGAGAGAGACCCTGTTTCAAAATATAACATGCAGATTGACTAAAGAGGACATACATCAATACACTCGCATAGATGTACACACATACACACACACACACACACACATACACACACACACACAAACACAAACACACAAAAAATAATAAAATAAAAACAAATAAAATTTAAAAAGCATCCTTACATTTGACAGGCCACAGCTTGAGCCAAGCCATGGGCATAGTGCGTGCAGGGAGACAAACAATCTTAGGAATTGGGATGACATGGGCTCTGAGGACTCCAGGTGGCAAGGCAGATCACAGGCCCAAAGGATGGTGTGTATGTGTGTCCCTGAGGCTGCTGTAATAGCAGTACATACTTGATGCTGTGTTTTAACAGGATGTGTCTCCTCCAGCCTCATGCTGAAGTTTGGTTCCCAGTTGTGCCCGTCAGACTTTTTGTCACAGTGAAAAGTGTCTGAGAGGAAGTGGTGGTCTCTTTTGGCTCACAGTTCACCATTCCCATCATCGCCAGCTTCCTCTATTACCACAGTCAGAGAATCATGGCTCTGAGGACTTGGGGTGAGGTAAAGTAGTTCCCATAGTTGTGTCTGAGGAGCATAGAAGAGACAGGAAAGAACTGAAGACAAGATAAATATTTCTAGGGTTCACCCCCAGTGATATTTTACTTCCTCTAACTCGGCCCTGTGTTCCACACTTCCATCAGCTCCAACAGTTCATTCAAATGATGACTCCACCAGAGGACAGATTCACTTAAGAAGGCTGAGCCTTTGTGGTCCAACTACTCCCCAAAAGGTCTTGGAATGCTGCTGCCCCGGGGACAAGACCCTCAACACATGAGCTTTTTGAGAGGAGACCTCATCTCCAAACCAGATGATAAAACAGTGTTGAAGCCTTTCATGTGGTTCAGAAGGCTCCAGCTTGTGAAGATGTCAGTGCTGTTTTCAGGGGAGTCATCTCAGAGCAGGACATTCTAGCTGTGAGCTCAGCTCCCCTCTTCTCTCTTCCCGGGTGACTGATGACCTGCGGCTCTCATCTTGTGTGGTGTATATCGCCACCTCTCCCATGTAAGGACAATGATATACAGAGCCCATCCACATGGTCCAGGGCCTCCCTTTCATAACTAGAACCTCATCACATGCATGCAATC